GAGCAGGGAGATGTGTGAGGACCATATACATTTCCCCTTCCAGCTCTTAGCAACCTGGGATGCTCTGGCTGCCATCCCGCCCAGCTTCTGGCAACCAGCATTAGGCTAGGGACACCCCTGCAAGTTTTACACAAGATTCACATTTTGTTAACAAATGGCCCCCAAGTGTAAGACTCAGTTTAAAGGTTAAAGTATAGTATAACACTAAGGATTGGGTTAAAGCAAACCTGTCATCTTGCATGTTCCAGATAAAGGGACCAATTCTCTTCATAAGCCCCCCCCCCGGAAGCCCACTGATACTTTTGCAACATTCCTCCCCCACCCCATTTACCTGCTGGAGCCCCTGGTAAGTCTCTGGTACTTCTGGTAATGGGGGTTCAGTACTGCCCATCTGACCAATTAGTGGGCCCAAATGCTGTCATGCGGGTGTTGAAGGAGAAGTCAAGTGTTACACAGATTAACACTGAACTAACAGAACTTGGAAGGATTCTTACTCTGGTCTCTAGCAGACAAACAGGTTGGCTGGAGAGCTCAGGGGAATGGTAAGTATCAAACGGTTTGGGTGGTAGGGGGCTATAAAGAGAACCAATCGCTTTGCCCTGAATGGGCAAGTTGATAGATTTTCTTTAAAGCAGACCTTCTAGCTCATTGGCAAGGTTCGCTGATTCATTCTGCATAAATTATATTGAGTAGGTCCCCCTTTTGCCACCAAAATAGCCCTGACCCATCGAGCCATGGACTCCACTGGACCTCTGAAGGTATGCTGTGGTATCTGGCACCAAGCCATTTGAGCTACAGTAGCTATGCTATCAGATTGGACTACATGGGCCAGCCTTCACTCCCCACGTTCATCAAAGAGCCTTGTTCACCAGTTTTCCTTCCTTGGACCACTTTTGGTTGGTCTTGACCACTGCAGACCGGGAACATCTCACATGAGCTGCAGTGTTGGAGTTGCTCTGACCCAGTCGTCTAGACATCACAATTTGGCCCTTGTCAAAGCCGCTCAAATCCTCACACTTGTCCATTATTTCTGCTTCCAACACATCAACTTCAGGGACAAAATGTTCACTTTCTGCCTAATATATCACCCCCCCTCCCTTCCAGGTGTCATTGTAATATATCCCCCCACTTCCAGGTGTGACTGTAATATAGCCCTCCCACTTCCAGGTGTCATTGCAATGAGAAAAACAATCTCAATCAATAACCTGTCAGTGGTCATAACATTATGTCTGATCAGTGTATACTCACCTTTTCCCAACTTCCATAGTATGAGAAATCATCCTCCTGCCCACAAGATCCCTGTGAATGGTGAGTAGTCCAAATCTTGCAAGAAGAAGCTACAACACAGTGCAAGATCATCTTCCCGAGGGATTTGGGCTACTCATAGGGGTCTATTCACCACCGAGGGCAGCCGAGTGAATGACCGATCTGAAGTGAAGTGCGCTGAACACTGTTCGGCTATTCACCTCAGGCTGGTACGGCGTCCTTAATTATCCATAAGCGCGGATTATACAGATTCCTTCAGCTGTACATCGGCTGAAATCCGCTGTACATCGGCTTGCTTCGAGTGGCTTCGGGGTGGCCGAACATGCTCAGCATGTTCGGC